AGGCCCTCATAGAATTTAGTTCCAGTTCTTTACTTACTCTTAGACTAGTAGTAACTGAGCACTAGTGGGGAAATGTTACTGCATATTCCTATTTATATAGACCCCATTCATACCAGACTTATATTTAGCGGTTTCAACCGGTTTTTCAAAAAACGGTTTTTATTTAGCCTAGTGTGAACGCAATCCAACCGTTTTTTAGGGGTTTAAATCCGATTTTCTAAAACCACCTTGGAATCAGCATATGCAACCTGGTCGGCGGATGAGACCAAGCTCCTGATATGTATTTTTGGAGAGCAGGAGTCGCCAAAAAAGCTGTTGGGAGGGGAAGGGGGGCTGTACCGAGACAAAAATATTTACCTGGAAATTTCAGTCAAGTTGGGGGAGCATGGTTTCTCGAAGATAACAGCAGTACCATGGTAAGATTGGGAGGAACGGTTATTCAAACTGTAATCATGGCAGATAAATTGGATATTCACCGTACAGGATTTTTACAAAACCGGTTAAATAAGTAAAGTCTGGTATGAATGCTAGAGGTTTTAGCCAGATTTTCCCTTGCTAATTTATTATTCAGACAGATATCCCTGCCCTATAATTTATTGTTTTCCAGGGAAAGTGACTTTCCCCTGTGTTTGTGGTCGGTAAGCAGGTGTGAATGTCAGGCGAGCCATTCTGCCGCCATCCCCGCTGATAAACCGCCATGTTGACGGCCTGAACTTTCCTTATTTCCCACGGTTGCTCTGCAACGAGCATTTCAGAAAGCCCGCGACGTGCGGGAATAAAACATGACATTTTGCTGTGCAGGTGAGCGCTGCTCCCCTCTACTCCATTGCAAACCGTTTAAGGGGCATAACGGCCTTTTAATGGGACGTACCATTAGCAGGGAGGTGTGGCTGCAAAGATAAGCACCTCCTGAAATGCCAGCTGGCTCTGTCAGAACCTCCACCGTACTCTTGGATGTGGGACCTTTGCTGGAAATGTGAAAGGTGACTTACAGTGCAGAAGGACAATAGTGGAAGGGATTGTGGGATATGTACTAGAAGGGTTGGCTGCAGTTGTGGACATCGTTTGAACTTTGAAGGTTAGTCTGTGAACTGTGATGTTGTACATGCATCAGGATTGCAGCCACACACGTGCAGGTAGCAAAGGCTATTCTGTGTAAATGTAGCACAGAAATTCTCTAGAAATGTGGCGAAGGAATCTCTGGAAATGTGGCACAAATTCAGCATAAATGCAGCGAAGAAAACGTTTGCAAATACTGTGGCAAGAAGAATTCACTGACAAAGGGGAAATGTAGCAAACAGTCACAGACAAGCTGACCTGTACAGGTGTGACAGGGAATGAACAGAAGACTTCTTTCACCTGCCTGGCAAGTTTCATGTTTGAAAGTCTTCACAGACTAGTTAGTTTGTAAAGGTGCAAAAAGACGCCTCCTCCAAATTGGCCGAGGAGGAGCCAGATTGCAACAGCAAACTACATCACACATTAACAAACACAAACAAACATGGAGGAACTCTAATGTGAGACATTGACAGGTGGCTTTTGTGCAGGGCAGGAGGAATTCTGTAGAAATGTAGCCAACTACTTACTGACAGGTCTGACATGTGGGGACGGATTCACAGACATGTTGTCTTGTACAGGTGTGAAGAAACAAAGTGTTAGAGACATTGACAGACAGGTTTGTGAGGCATGGACATTGGGCTACATACTGTTCACAGAACTCCAGAGAAGGGAGTAAGTGAAACTGGGCTGGATGCCAGCGTCAGTTTGAGTCAGTGCTTGTGGAGAGGTTTTGTGTCCAGTAGAACCGTTGGTCGATAGCCCCACTCGTAGGACAATCTCCTTTCTGTTGTTATACGGGGCCAGAGGTCGCCTATTGTTCCTGTTTGTTTATAGTACTAGAAACAGTGTGGCGAGGCGCGGGCGCGAACAGAGCAGCCATTGTACGACACACGGAGATCGAAACGGATCCGATTGGCCAGAAACGTAACACCTATTGTCAACGTCACTCCTTTTACTTCTGATCTGAAGCCGACTAATCTTACTTTACAACTGACGCAACCCGATCAGTCCTTAACACAAGCACCAGGTAGAACTGGTCCTTTGTCTCTCCTGCGTTATTATTTTGGCAACCTGCAGACAAAGTTCTGACTGTTCAGGATATAATTTTGAACAGGTCCAGTCATAGGGGGAACAAACGGCCTATAGATGATGTGATTTCCTCCTCAGACAGTCAGGAAAGTCAAGTGCCCATGCCTGTTTCATGGTCCTGGGGCTGCATTACTCACTTCCCCTTGTCCATCAGTGGGTTTCACCATCCTGTCCTGGTGAACACACTCTGTCTGAAGCCAGGTCCAAAACCTCTGTTCAAGAACATCGAAGGAGTGTTTTGCCAAGAGTCAGGTAATGAAGAGTTTTGGATCTCTGGTTCACTGGGGTTGGCAGGGTTTGAGCTATGCTGCTTTGAGATAAGTGAGGCTACCAGACTTCAACGGGTTGTAGGAAAGCAGTAGTACTAGAATGTACTTGAAATTGCCAAATAAACAGAATGATATGTGAAAAGAGTTGGCTGGCCATAGGAGTACACTTTGGCACATTATAATTTTAGTCAGACTGTCTTATATGGCCAATTTCAAATTTTCTACTATTTTCTAGCTATCTATTGCAGCCTGATAGAGACTAATAACTGAATTTGGCAGGGTGAGAGTATGCTGAGTAATTGGCATCATTCCTAGCTTTCAGGTTAGGAGGTTATTATGACAGAATAACTTGATTAATTGGCTCAGTTCAAGCACTTCCTTCCTGTAAGTTTCACCTTTCTGTGGTTCTCTTGTGTGTTCAAATGATTGTTTGAAAGTTTGCCTAGATTTGGGTGATTAGGTAAGGGGACCAGACTGCTAAGAAGGCAGACAGGACGGCTCAGTTCAAGTTCAAGTACTTCCTTCCTACAAGTTAGGTTCTGCCATGGTTCAGTAAGTTTCTGTGGGATGAAGGTTTAATGAGGCTGTTTAGGATGAGAGGGATGGACAGTTGGATTTTAGGCAATGAGGTCAACTTTAAAAGGGCAGCTATGCAAATAATTTATAAAATCAGTATGAGAAAAAGAAAGTTTTTAAAATCTATTTTGAGATGTTTAGGCATGCCAGCCAATATTGCCCATTAAACACTCTGTGTCATGGTTCAGTGGTTTTCTGTAGATAATGATGGTTTGGTTGTTTCTGTTGAATGACTGGCTTTCCTTTCCTTGAAGTCTTTGGCCCCGTTTACACGTGTGTCGTTTATATGTGTCAGGCATGGAATGATGCGCTCGCAGGCGGGATTTTTTAGTGTGTAAACAATCTCTGCCACCGCTGCGCGGCAGTTTTCTTGTGGCACCTCTTGGATGTGGCACAGAAAAATGACGCGCGGTGCTGCACGGTAGTGGTGGAGGTTGTTTACACGCTAAAAAATCTGGCGAACAAAATGCGCAGTGTGGTGCCACGCGCACGCATCGTTCCATGCCCGACACACACAAACGACGCACGTGTAAATGGGGCCTATTTAGTCATGTTTTTCATTGTTTTAACTTTGTACATACAGCTTAACCCAGTAACCTACACCGATCTGGTGTCATTTAATGGTTGTGTGTTTTTTGAACATTAAATGTTCAAGAAACAATGATTTTTGTAAAGTTCATCTAGCCGTTAGCAGAACACCTGTTTCTGTGCTTGTCCAGGTATTTCAGGATTACCTGAGATAAATCCAGGTGAGCTGAACAGGTGAATTCTGATCAACAACAACACACTTGCTTTTATGCAAATAACAAAATCTCAACCAATGAGTTGTGTCGTATGTTGTACAATTGATTAGTTTTGAAAAACTGATACAGGTGCTGCTCACTAGTTCAAGCTGTTAATTGAAGTTCCTGTACCCTCCATGAACCATGTCTGCTGCCTGGTTGTTTTATGGTGTAATTCTGTGGCAGGCTCAGCTGTGTGAGGTTCTCTGTAAGCCGCCCGAGGTGTTAAATGTACTGGAAAGACGTGCTGTTTAGATTGAAGTGCACTTTCCCTGCCAGTAAGGTCCCAGCGCGCTGTCGAACCACAGACTTTGAGTGACTAGCGGCCATTTCTGTCCTCGTTTCTTTAATTGGAACCAGGAAAGTCTCCTGGTAAAGTCTCGTCTCGACCATCGGTTATTGGATTTTCTGGCAGGAGAAGAGAGAGCTATCGGGTACCGCTGTGGTAAAGGCATCAAATCGATCAGCAACGATTGTTTTTGTGCCTTTAAAGCCCCTTGGAGGGCTATTTGCAGTGGTGTCAGTTTCATCCGTTATCATGTTTGTCTGTAGGATATTCATAACGTAGAAATGCCTGTGGGGAATCATGAGCAAGCTTAGCGGAATGGCGGGCAGGAGCGCTGCACACGATGTGATTGGTGCTGCTGGGGTTCGTAAATGTTCTGGGCATTAGTAGAACATCACTGCAGCCAACATCAAGGCAAGATCCGATCGTGTAATCATAGCGTACTACGGCGTTCTCTTTACTTGTGGCTGAGAGCCCCCTTTTTACCCTGATGGATTCACTGCAGTGAACAAGAAGAGTTTTTTCCTACCCTTCAGAAAGGGCATCTGTGTGGAGGGATCTGACCTGGTTCAGTAATGGGGAGAGAATGGTAGATGAAGATGTCAGTGGCTCGACTTGCATCATCCAAAACTATGTCAGGTGAAGAATGGGCGTGTCAGGATTGGGCACCTCTGATTGGTTGGTTGCTCCGTATGGATGCTGGATGTGATGATGAGAAGGTCCAGACTGTTTATTATGACCCAGTCCAAGATTTGGAAGAAGCTGTTCCTCTTGTGGTGATAAAACACTACACAGTCATTCGATTATTACCTGAATTCCTCGAAAACAGCTTCAATAAATTTTTTTAAATCACCAAATAAATGTGCATCTCTCATCAACCATGTTATTGTTGCCTTATAGAACTGGAGTTTGACTGGTTTCTTGTCCTGTGTGTTACAGGTGGTTGTGAAGACGTTAGGTCGGCTGCTGGACATCTCCCACCCGATCTGTGTGAAGCAGTGGTGAAACGACTCTCCAGTGCCGACGCAGGCTGGGACTGGCAGCATGAGGAGATCCTAACAACTCCTACAGATATCCAGTAAGTGAGGGAAACAGATGGATCTCTGTTCCTTGATGCTTATGCAAGTTTCAGTTGTAATCAGATGTAAGGAAAGTATTGCCTAGGTGCCATCCTGTATTAGTTTTGAAAAACTGATACAGGTGCTGCTCACTAGTTCAAGCTGTTAATTGAAGTTCCTGTACCCTCCATGGCTCCCACACTCCCATTCTCCCTAAGAAATTTAGGAGTCCTGGGATACGAATAGGATGGCACCCAGGCTAAGTAAAGTGTTCTCCACTGTGTTGTAAAAGGTAAGTGTACATGTACATGTATGTAGAGGTTGAAAGTAGAAGTCTTCATAAAACACAAAGACCGTGTCTCCAGGTTCAACAGTACATGTATTTGAAGTAGCCTGCAAATATGTGACTCGATCCAGGAAAAGTTTGGGCCCATTTCTGTACCAGTCTGAAGACCCTTGCACATATCAGAGCACATCTCTGCAGGTTTATTTTGCTATCTGTTTCATTATCAAGCTTGAGAATGTCCTAGCAAATGATTGATGTTGCTTGATGTAGCAGCAGTAACCGCCTTTTGATAACCTGATCACAACCCTCTGATAGCCTGACCACTGTACTGCTGGTACATATCCCTACATTACTCCTCGTTGCATGCTTCTCGTTAGCGCTGCTCAAACCTTGATATTCCGATGAGCTCCGAGGCACAGAACATCGCACTACCAAATTGCCTTTTGATGATCGGACATCAGCCGTTAAACAGCACATTTGGGGTAATTTACCACATTTGTCTCTTGGCAAGTTGGTGACAGTTGAAGAGATTTTCTGTCAGGTCCGGATACATGATCAGATTCACAGAACATCACCTTACAAAATTGCTCTTTGATTACCACATAACAGCCATTAAAGGCAATGCATTTGCAACGATTCACTGATGACTTTCTGCTCACAAGTTGAGTTCAATGCAGGATAAATTAGTAGTTTTTCTTGGTGGAGCAATTAAACTGATCTCCATCGCAAAAACTGGACTGGAATTTTGGACTGAATCACTCAGCTTATCTGACCCAATCGCTCAGGACACATGACTTCAATGCATGAATAAGGTTGTTGGAAGTTGATATCCCTCCCGTCCTCTCACAAAATAGTCATGTACAGCATCCAACGTTGACTTCCAGAACCCCAAAGTTCAATAATGTCGTTCACCATTTCAGCTGAACTTAATGCTTCCAGCTTTTCTGTCAGTTCTTGATACACGAGGATAAGAAGATTGTCCGTGTTGCAGTCCTAAGTTTGCCATAAGTTCAATTGTGTTGGTAAGTTTTGTTATTTCCTCAGTTTGCATGCAGTTAGGAAATGCTACATCAAGTACCGTACTCCATGTCGGGTACGATAAGGCTTCCAAGGTCATGCAGAACGTGCCAAGGTCATGAATACATATGTAGCAGTGTGCGAACTGCCATCTCCCGGGCTTCGCCACATCTTTAACTGCCGCTTTGAAAATCTGTGCTCAGGGGCACCGTTAATCAAAATGCCACGGGATGTAAACTTTACGTGCCTTTTCTGAGCCAGGGTTGTGAATTATACATGGCCCTGTCGTTATCCAAAGGTGAGCATACCTGTGCTCATACCTGGATGTGTTGTCGGGTCTTCACAGGTGTGCAATTTTCCACTTCAGGGCCCACCGTACAGGTGTGATCATCAGAAGGTGTTCTGTGCTTGGACACAAGACGTGGCAGTCATTATTATAGGATTTTGCTAAATTTGAGGAAAGGTTTTATCTGAAAGGTTTTGTTTGGATGCTTTGGATTTGTGAACTTCAAGGTGTTTTTTCCCATTCCCGACTTTCTCAGATGCATCAAATAGCTTCAACCTGAGAAGCACTTGTGGGCTTTGTTCTATTTATATCTTCAAAATCTGATTCTCCTTTGTGTGAAAAATGTTGTTACTGTTTGATCTTTGAAGGTTAAGTTCTTTCCACGAAACCACATTTTTCTCACCGGACAACAGACAACATTTCGGCATCTTGAAAGAACTAAACTGATGAATCAACGCAGCGTGGCCTGTTGTACAGTGATCCTCTGGTTTGTAGGGGTTTTGGAAGGAAACATGGATGGTGGATACTACCACATTTTTCTCACCTGGCAAAGTTTTGGCAACTTGTCAGAATATTTGTCAGAAACTTGTCATAAAGATGATTTGGTGCCCCAAAAACTTTATTTACCATTGACATCCTAACATGATGAAGCTATACTTCTGGTTGAAAGAGTTTTTGATAGAAATATGAATGTCACATAAGCTTTCCTGTTGTACCATGGAGAAGTGATTTGTTGTGATAGGGTTTATGGTCTGTAATGGGGAGGTTTATGGTGAGGAGGGATTAAAATCTGTGCCCCGAGGTTGTCTCAGATGGATGGAAATAACCACAGAACATCAGGTGAGTTATAGAACTAACTTCTGCCAAGACAAGGATGTTACAGTTGTACTACTACTAGCATTCACTTCTTGTTAGTAGAAACGTCCAAACCAAAGTCAACTTGCAGATCAAGTGAAAAAACAGCAGTTAATAAATATAATCTCTCCTTGGCCAATAATGTAAATCATGAAAAATATAGAGGTACTCATTGTATATTGACGAAAAGGTTGATAATGTGCGTGTATGATGTTTTTTAAGCACCATGTCCAAGACAATGAACTGAAATTGTGGTCACGACGTCAGCTCGACTGTTGGTTGTTTGCGTGACTCTGCGACCATTTGTCCTCTCTCAGAGTCAGACAACAGTTTCACATGGCGCCTGTAAGATATGAAATGCCATTAATCCTGGTGCGCAGTCGCCAGTCGGGTGGAGTCATCACCATGGAGATGGTGTTCAGCTGACTCACCCTGGTAACGGCAACTTCCTGTTCTCCGGCCAACCATTGCCGTGGTCACTGCTGCATTTATGAGAAGGCTTGCTGGGAAATAAAAACTCTTGTTATGCGGAATGGCAGTCGGATGAGTTTGTGAGTGAATAAATGGCTGTAGAAGGTCTTTCTGGCATGTTTTATCGGGACAGTTTATTTTTGCGGCCATTTGTTAGCACCTCCTAATGTGGAGACTGAATTGAAGCTGGTTAAAATGACATCATGGTCCCTTGGGAGAACCTTGTTAACAGATTGTAGATAAGTGGTTATGGTTGTGACACGCTAACAGTTTTACAGCCGCCCGTCACAGAAAGGCTGTCATTGTCGACCCGTCATTCTGTTAATTGTAGACTTTGGGTTGTGTCGCTCATAAAGCTGTCATTATCCTGGTTGGATGGATTGAGGAGTGAGGACTGCTGGTAATAAGGACATTGATGGAGGTTTGAGGAGAACTGATTGAAAGAAGGGAGGATATTGGGGGAGCAGCGAGCAGCGACTACTCTCCACCATCCAGTTTTAACCTTCAGCTTGCTATGTAGCACCAAATCTTCATTTATTATGGGGTCAGGTAGCAGGGAGAAGGTTTAAGTGACCTTGGTCAGCAACTCCCCACCAAAATAAGGGCTGTTGTAGCAAACATACAACAACTTCTTTTGTTGTAATGTTACGTTTTAGCATCATTGTTGGGTTTTGGCGGGAAAGTTTCCAAGCTCTATATCACTGGCCCTGAGCCAGCCGACCTTTAGGTCACCTGCGAAAGGTGTGCTGTTATGATTTGTGTTCAATCACTGGAAACGTGGGAAAATCAACAACCTGCAATATAACTTGACAATGTGTCTTATAACCTATCAAACTATGACTCAAACTGGATACTAGGAAAGATTTGAAATCAGTGACTGGATATTTAGGAAATGGACACTACCGGTAACTCTCTTCTCTGGACTGTTTGGTTGAATTGTTTTGTTGTCAGTTTTTGGCGGGAAACTTTCCCAGGCCAGTGTGTTGGCCACTTGCCAGCCGACCTTGGGGTCACAGCAGAAAGGTCATTTGTTGTGACTCTGAACTAGCGATTGGAAACTTGGGAAGCTTATATTTAATGTCTCAAACATTACTCTCCCTTTCTGTTGCTGACTGGCGGAAATGGTCTCCTTCTATCAGAACATTATGCCTGCCCCAGTCCCTGTGACTAATCGTTCCTGGCTAACAAACCAGTAGGTTAATGAACTGTCAGACCCCGGGACAATAGGATTATATATACTGACAAACACACCCTCTATTGTGCCACCAGGTGAGTGGGCCATTGTCCTACCTGCCCATTATGTGCCTGTTGTGTTGGGATACTGATACACTGGGCTTAGGTGGTTCTCAGGTGGACTAGTCCATTCATCTGTCGGTGGGTGAGATTTTAGCTGAAGAAAATTTAGACCAAACCGTTGCACTTTCCTCAATGCGAAGGAAAGTAAACCAAAAAGATTTTTATAATAAAACAGTGCTTACAATAACCACAGTTTTAGAGCTTACTTGAACAAATGCTAATGTTTGGTTTGGTTCAGTTTCCCCTTTATTTCATCTCCAATGGCTTGAACCCTACTATAATTGGGACTCACCTTGGCAAAATGCCAACAGCAACAAACCCCAAACTGGCCTATAAACATCTTCAGGGCCTGTGAAAGGCTGGCGTGACAATCTTCTTAAAAGCACCCAGGATAATACCGGACAATGTGTCTGTCTAAAAGGGGCCTGAAAGAGCAGATTTGTCTGAGGTTAAGGAGAGAGTGAACACCTGTCCAACTCCCGGGCAGGTAAGAACAGTGCTGCATTCTGTTCTGACATTGGGAAGGAACAAGGTCGTAAGGCAGGCAGGTGGGTTTGAGCTTTACAAAGCTATGTCGTGCCAGAGTTAAAAAATTCACAATGGGTTGGTCATTTCCACTGGCCTGAACTAGCTTTTTACTGGCCCGTGACCATGATCCAAAACTGAACTGCATGGTGTTTCCAATTTACATGTCTGTTAGTGTTACTTTTCCTCAGCAGTTTCTTGTTTCCAAGGGAATGTTTTGTAGTGAAGTAGAGACTGTTTTTGTGTGTCTGTTTTTATGTGTCTGTTATTCCACTGTACATGTA